TTTGCAATATGCATGTACTATATAAGTGCAATAAAAATGAGTAAATTCTGAAAATTTTAAAGTAAGAATATTTCAACATTGTGTGCTGCTTTTAGTCCTTGAAAAACCTCTGACAGGTTCTGAAAAGTCTTTGAATATCCTTGAATTTTCACTTTGGAAACCTGTACGGACACTGTATGCCCACCAAAACCACAGAGTACATTCGTATGATCCGATTTTTCTTAATTTAGAAGCTTTTACTGTGTTCTCAAGTGACCACTCGCAGCAATGCTTTCACTTTTGCAATAGTATCTGTCTGTCTGTCTGAGCTTAGAGGGATACTGAATAGCAATTGGAAGAAACTTATGAGATCATCAAAATTATGCTCTGAAAACTACTTAATCTATGTATTTCGAACAGCTCGAGCCGTAACATCACAGTTGCTGAGGCGCATGTAGGGTGCACATATTCCTGTTATCATCTATTTCATCCCGCTCTTCTCTCTCTACAAAAGCGCTGATGCTTTCAGCTGGGAGCATTGTTCGCTACCTGTGTTATTCGAGGTGTTTCTGAGAATTGTAGTGGAAAGTGAGCGGGCCGAGAGATGCAGTCGATGGCCTGCATTGTTCGCATGCCCGTTTCTGGAGAGTGTAATGTCACCTCTTAGTGTACACAACATGACAGTTTGTAAAAAATGCTTTAAATTTGTTGTTTTTCTCAACTTTATGCCTGAAATATGCCTGAAATGAAGGCCGTGTCTATCAATTTCATCACCCAGTCTTTCAATTTAGCTGTAAATCTTGGAGGCAAACTTGTTTTTGTACAGTTGACAGAGTGACCGACCAACTTGGCTTACAGTAGGTTGAAGCCGTGTAAAGGAAAAAGTGTTCCTGAAAATAATTGTTTCGTAAAGTAATTGTTTGGGAATGTATCTCCGGCTCCATCTCTTTTTAAACTGCATTGTTGCACTAGTTCATGCATGGGCATACTTAGTGGCGATTCTTCACTTAATGGAACTGCAGAAGTTAGACTGCATAATCTACAGAAACATAGTCATATGTGATTTCCTTAAGACCAACAGTTGTAACTAACACCAGCAGTTGTAGATATGAAGGAACCTAGCACTTGCAGCATGCTTGCATAACCTCACGACAACATGCAAGAAATGTTAAACTAGCGCTTTGAGACTACGAGTGCATACACTCATCGTACAGTAATGGTTGCTCTAAGCCAAAGCGGCAGTGTCAACAGAAGCTGATATCAAAGACCTTACTTTTGTTAGCTGCATGCGCCAAATCCAATTTCAGGGCCAAAACACGACGTTGTTGTCATCTTCAGAGAGCCCATACAAATTTCAAAGACTGAGCTTTTGTTGGTGTATTTGATATCATGGGTTTACAGTAAACCACTTATCACGCCATGCCAAGCTTCACACATGGGCAACTCTGGCCAGGTCCGAGTGCCAGTTTACAGCATATGTGGGAATGGTGTCGTACATTTTTCAAGTAACAGTGGAGTTCTCAGTGCATTGGATTCTATGGGATTTATGCTGGGACTAGCTGAAAACCAACATATTAGATAGTTCTATCTCTTCGTCTTTGCCCGCATCTTTGTATTCTTTTTGTATGATTCATCACATTACTTGCTTATTATATTTTGTTTAGCTTGTTTTATCTTCTGTGTTACATTATTGTTTATTCTTAAGGAAAGTGTCCCCAGCCCCAGACACTGTTTTTAGGTTTGTTTCTTGGTTGTATAAGATTTTATTTTGTCAATAATAAAAGGACGCTGAAACGGTTTTTTGAAGTTTTGTCAGCATTTAGAGGTTAGAGCATCACTAAACCATTCGCACCACAAATTTAGTGACACTCCTCCTCACCTCTGCCGGCCCTCCTCAACTCATGAGACATGCTGGCCATCGCAGAGCTCTTGGGAGAACACTCCATTTGAACTTTTACCAGTCCAGACCTCCATGATCGCAAGCTGACAGGTTGCATGCAGTCTTGGAAGTCATCACACAGTTCACCCGGCAGTGCAAATGCCGTCTGGGTACAGACGAAGGTCACGGTGTGGTTCATATTTGCTTCGACAGGTGCTACCACCCTACCAGTCGGTCATTCTTCCCAACATTCCGCAGCCCAAGATAGCCAATCAGAAGCAGCCATAGTGACGTCAAATAGCCAGAGCATGTTGCTCTGTGAATGGGCGGTTGAAAACAACGTTTGGTCGAGTCGCAGCGATTCACAGGTTTAAAGCGTTGTAATAAATCACACAGTTTACGCTGAGAGCTCAAATCAGTCTCTAAATGACCCTTAGGACTTGGTCTACTGGCCCAATGTGTTACTACAAAATTCTCAAAATCATTTCAGGGCTTTTTTAAGCCTTCTCATTGTGGTTTCGCTTATATTATCCATGTAATATACAAGGTTATGATTCTGAACCTGCCTGAAAAAGTGTGTTAATTGTTGAAATTAAATAGAGTTTGAATTAGCGGGTGCTTGTTAGAACGAATGAGCAATGCGCTACACTGTGCGGTCAGAACCCAAAGAAGACACTTGTGGACATATCATGAATTACGCGTTACTGAATGTTTTAGGTAAGTGGTTTCGTAAACTGACTCCATGCAGTCAGTGATACGTCCGAAACAAGTACTGGCATGAATTCATGCGAGCCATGAGCTTTTAATGCAGGAGTGCAACTACTGTGCCAATTTGATACAATTCCCTGTTTTTGCGCAGAGCTGCGCCAAAACCATGAAATTTGCTGAAATTGTGCCACGCTGCTCCAAAATGCCCAGCCAGCCTCAAAATTTTCATAGGTGCGCTGATTTTGACGAGAAATGCAAGCCACGTCAGCCACGTGCAGTTTGCGCCATCAGTCAAAGCGCACAGACCGTAACCAGCCCTACGTTCTGAGGACGCGATTGACCAGATAAAGTAACAACGCTTCCCACCCATTAGTCCGCTGACGGCAGTGGATACCCATCGGCGGGACGACAGAGTTTCCAGGACAAAAATACGTTGCTGTAGCCACCAACACTTTGCGGGACATATAAATTTCCTAGCCTGAAAATGCTGCTATGGCTTGTTAGAAATTAAAGCTGGAAGCATATTCCGCGTTTCCCTCGCGCGAACAAGCTTGATGTACTGCGAATGTCTCTGTTGGCAGCGACCACGCTGATTGCGTCAACAGTGGCACTTACAACTCTTTCTTTGTTTTTTCTGTCTTAAAGCTACATCGTCTCGGCCACAGTCCTTGCAGGAAACATCCGGTACCATCGCTGGGCCAATGGGTGCGCGCCTTTGTTACTTGACCTGGTCAAACCTGCGTTGCAAAGGAGCTGTAGCTGTACTTAACCCCACAGTGAAGAAAAGAAAAAAAAGAGTGGAAAGTTTGGGGGGGGGGGGGGGGGTAGTGGTTAAAACATTTTTTGGCTTAGGAAGCTTTGAGGTCCCAGGCACGGCCGTGGTAGTAAACACCCGGTACCATCGCTGGGCCAACGGATGTGCACCGTTGTTACTTTACCTGGTCGAACGTGCGTTGCAAGGGAGCCGAAGCCCACGGTGAAGGAAAAAAAAAAAAAAGTGGAACGTTTGGGGGGGGGGGGGGGGGGGGGGGGAAGATCTGTAGTGATTATAACATTTTTTGGCTTGGGATTCTGACTTGCAGAGAATGCTGCTTAAGGCACCTTCGCCGCAGTACACCAGTGGCTTACGGAAAAGCCTATTAAGATTTTGAAGGGGCTGCTGGCGCTAGTCGCGGAACACTGCACATTTTGTTCAGTTACTCGTGTGTATGTACGCCGCACAAGTGTGAGTACCAGTATAAAAACTGATGTATGAATAAGCTATTGGCAATAATTTGGAGCAATGTATGACATTTCTGCTTCCCTAAAGAAAAAAAAAACTAAATTCGGGATTCATCTTGGTAGGAAGCACAGCAGCTATTACACGGAACACACAACACAAGCGCTTGTGTTGTGTGTTCCATGTAATAGTTTCTGCGCTTCCTATCAAGATGGATTCATACCAACTGGCCCGATACAATTGCTTATTGACAAAATTGAGGGCCAGTTTTTTTCATTACCCCTAGCCCTCGATTTTATGAATCTCCCAAGTTTCGAGGTTGCGAGCTTGGCAGATACATAGTTAAATTCGCTGAGTATGTCAAAAGATTTGACAGGTGCAACAATGTTAATACAAGCGTTATTATTGATTTCTCATTGGGATGGTTCAAAATACCACTTTCATTGAAATAGCAGTGCTCATGTTCACACTGTACGATTAAGGTCATGTCAAATGCTTTATACATTTTGCTTTTCTAAATGTAAGCCTTGTTTTTATGCTGCTCTAAATTTGGTATTTCGTGATAAAAAATGCATAATTGTTTCCTGTAACGTGCTTAGATTTCAGTGCTCTAAAAGTAACATTTTGCTACTCCAAAAATTGCTCCAAATGGTATTTCCGCTGTTGCACCCCTGACTTTTATGTCAAAACATACGAGACTGTTTATGCTTCAAAACACATTTATTTTTGTGTCAGAGTTAACGCAGTAAAAATTACTCTAATCAGTCAATTGCATCTCCTTTCGTTTCTTCTGTTACAACTTCATGAGCATCGTTTTCAGCTTACCTTAAAGCTCCAATGCAGCATGCAAGTTCTTACTTGCTGTGAAAGAGTCCGTTTCGTTGTTTAACATTGTACATCTGGTTTTGTTTGGTTTTGTAACTCGTTATGATCACTGGGGGCAGGCTTCTGTGAGGAGTGATGAAAACCAGAAGCTCCCTGTTCGAATTAACCATTGTGGAAACCAAGGCGTTCAAATCATCGGGAGTTTTCTCCCATAGAAGCACACAGCCGGACTGCGGTCAGGCGGCGTTAGTTCAAAATTAACTGCAAATTCGAATGATCAAAGTTGAGCTCTTACGGTAGTATGATGGCCAGATTCTACTACAAATGTCAGACAAATGTTCCCTTTTTTTTTCTCTTCTTACAACTTTTATGTATTTTTATATTGTGTAGGCTATTGGATCGGAAGAAAAAACGCTTGCAGCAGCTGGAAGACCAAATGAAGAAGCTGGAGGTACAAGCCATGGATAAAGAAGAAAACAAGCAGATTGCTCTGGGCACCTCCAAGCTCAACTATCTTGACCCGAGGATTAGTGTTGCCTGGTGAGGAAAACTGCATGCTAATCTCTAGAATGGTATACTTACTGTAACATTTTGCTGCTGTATATCTCTTTGTCTATTGGTTAGTTGAGAAAAAGCTGTGCCAGGGCCTTCTATTGGTTTCATAAAAACTTTAGGAGAGTACAAAACCATCACACTTCTAAAACCTCAGGGCCTTCTATTGGTTTCATAAAAACTTTAGGAGAGTATAAAACCATCACACTGCTAAAGCCTAGACATTGGTAATGTAAGCAGTGATGCGATAGCTGTGCCAATTGTGCCAAACTGCGCCAAGATGGAAAGCCTGCTACATCCTGCTTCATTTTCTCCTTTCGGCGCCAAAACTGCACTAATTACAAAATACTATCGAAAAAAATGAGTGCAGCGCGTCGCTGCCGATGACGCGCGGGTAGGGGCAGCCTGTGAGCTTGCCAATGTTTGCCAGGTGGAAGGAAAATGATTGTCCGACCGGGGGGATACAGCCGGACACTGATTTATGGGGACGTGCAGACAGTTGTCACCAGGAATTAGGGTGACCCCCCGAAAATGTACCTCAGAGGAAATGGCTTGCCACAGACGGGTGTCCAAGGCTCCAAGCTAATTGTGTTTGGCAGGTGAATAGAAGACAGCAGCACGAGACGGCTTAAAAGCTTGAAGGGCAGTAAACTAGCAAACCAGTTTATACTTATTTGTAACTCATTGTCAAAAGTCAACTCAGACTTAGCACAAATATTAAAGGGGGACTAACCTAACCTAACTAGCCCCATGGGCATTGTCCATGCAATAGGCTTTCGTATAGAGAAATGGCAAAAAAGTCAATTTCTGGAACTCTTTTTCAATCTAATTCCTAAATATCTACCCTCAAGAACGTGCAGAAGTGCTTCATAAAATTCATTTTAGTCTTCTAGGTAGCAAAAATATTTCTGAAAATTGCGAAAAAACATTGAGTTTTAGAAAATTATAGCTTCGCAGTGGTGCGGCTGGGAGCCAGCTTCTCAGGCTTATTGGAAAATGTATTTCTCCGTTTTTAAATTTCCCACTTCAGCTGGCGCCTTCCTTTAAAAACAAGCACACAAAAAGCAAATGTGTGAAGGTCGTTTTGAGACCCCTGATTGGCTGTGGCCCCCATGTTGCCCCAGCTCGCTTCGCCATTGGCCCGATGTTTCCTCCGGCAGATTGCTATCTGCTGTTTGTGCGTCGCAAGGACATGGCTGTCGACGATCACTTAGGATATAATTACGCTTTAGTTGGGAACTGTAAGTGGATGCTCGATCAGATTACAAGTGCAGCGCATCACCGTAGTCGTCTTTAGGCCTAACTGTGCTGACGGCGAGACGAACTTTGCGGGCGAGAACGACGCGCTAGCGCACTCGTGGACACGTGCTTCTTCACAGGCAACGAAGCATATCACTCACTAGCTCCTCGGAACTGCGGACGGGCATTTGAGATTTTACGCATCGGTAGAGGACCCCACAGTCAAGCTTGTCAACGCTCCCCCCCCCCCCCCCCCCCTCCCCACCCACTGCCAAAATCGCTCGGAACAGCGGCTAGTAGTTTCGCGTGCCGCCACTTGAAAATACAATACCAAGTGCAGTGCGTGCCAATTTTTTTGTCATCGTAGCTACACATATCGCGTATTGTCACTGAATGCCACTGCCAAGTGCATCACGCACCGGCTGCACTGTCCACATGGTCGCGCACTTCACAGTCATATCGAGTGCTGTCAATATGCTCTTGTGATGCGATCTAGATGTGTTTGGAGCCGTGCTTAATATCACCGCAAGCGTCCATCAATGTTCTGAGACAATCAAAGCCTCGTAAATTAGAGTTCTCGCGAACCCTAAAAACAAAAGCTCTACGGGCGACCCCCCGTGCTCACACCACGTACTGGATCGAGACTCGAGCGCATCTGTAGTGCCAGTCCTTGCTTGGTGAAGGAAAAGCACGACTCTCTGCAGCTCTTGACAAGATGTCAGGAAAAAGGACAACCAACTAGACAAGAGCTCGTCTGCAATTTAAAAAAATGAAACAGTGTTGTTAATCTTCAGTAAAAAATTCCATAGTGATTTATTTGTTTTTTAATAATAACTGCTCTCTTATATTATTTCAGTGACCAGAATGCAGCACCTATTCGTAGAGTGGTGGATCTCGTATTAAAAAGTGCACTGGAAGGTTTAAAATTAGTTTGGGCTCATAATTTGTGATGTTATATAGAGATCTCCAAATATTTCATTATTGCACAGAACTTCTTAATTCAAAAGCGTTCCTACTTAGCTTTGCTTCAGACGGTAAGTGTCCCACTTGGCATTAAGCCTTAAGCTGCTCCAAAATACATTTCTGGTTACCCCAAAAGTCATTTTTCCCCTCTCCAAAACGCATTTTTGACTGCTCCAAATTGATCTTTTTTTGCTTCAAAATGCACTTTTTGCTGCACCTAAAATCTGTTTCAAAATAGCTCAAGTCAATCACATCACTCTGATATGTGGGGTTTAACGTCCCAAGATCACATCACTCTGTACGCCACGGTGACAAAGCCAACGTGTACTAGGGGGTGCCCAAATACATGTCCCAATGACTGTTCCCTCTGATCAACAGAAACACACCTCAAACGTGCTTTCGCAAATATATTCGCTAGAAGCAATTCATGAGCCATAAAACATGTAGACTGTTTGACATCATCATCGAGGAAAGTATTCCAGAATGGTTTCGTGCTTTGCAAGTTGGTTCATTGCAACTCGTATAACAGTGCTAAAATGTGGTTATGTCTATGTCGATGTCACTTTGTGCCATTTAATGCTGATTGATATTTTCTTTGTTTCAATTTTTTTTTCTTATCTGCTGGCACTTTGTACATATATACAAGACCGCAATCTCTACTCTCTGTCTTTGTGTTCCTTTCTACCTTTTGGCATTCTTACATGAGTTGCTTTCAGGAAAATATGGTGATGAAGGTAAGAGGAGAGCATAAAGGAATGCATAGTTATTGCAACGGCTTAATTTCAACATGTCTGATCAGGTGAAAGCGTGAATGATTGCACTCGCCTCTGTGTAACTTCTGTGAGACAGTTGCACTCACTTCTGTGAGAGCTGCCCATCGGTCTGGTTTATCAATTTGCAAGTTTGGTTACTGGCATCACTCTCACTTTTTATCAATACTGGACTTTGGACTCCCACTTTTTTGAAGATCATCATCATCAGCCTGACTACGTCCACTGCACGACGAAGGCCTCTCCCATGTTCTGCCAGTCAACTCGGTCCTGTGCTTGCTGCTGCCAATTTATACCCGCAAACTTCTTAATCTCATCTGCCCACCTAACCTTCTGTCTCCCCCTAGCCCGCTTGCCTTCTCTGGGAATCCAGTTAGTTACCCTTAACGACCAGCGTTTATCCTGTCTACGCGCTACATGCCCAGCCCATGTCCATTTCTTCTTCTTGATTTCAGCTATGATATCCTTAACCCCCGTTTGTTCCCTAATCCACTCTGCTCTCTTCTTGTCTCTTAAGTTTACACCTACCATTTTTCTTTCCATTGCTCGCTGCGTCGTCCTCAATTTAAGCTGAACCCTCATTGTAAGTCTCCAGGTTTTTGCTCCATAGCTAAGTACCGGCAAGACGCAGCTGTTATGTACCTTCCTCTTGAGGGATAGTGGCACTCTACCTGTCATGATTTGAGAGTGCTTGCCGAATGTGCTCCACCACATTCTTATTCTTCTAGTTACTTCAGTCTCGTGGTTCGGCTCGGCAGTTATTACCTATCCTAAGTAGACGTAGTATTTTACAACTTCAAGTGCATTATTATCTATCTCGAAGTGCTGCTCTCTTCTGAGGTTGTTGTACATTACTTTCGTTATCTGCAGATTCATTTCAAGACCTACTTTTCTGCTCTCCTTGTCTAACTTTCTAATCATGAATTGCAATCGTCCGTGAAGTTACTCCTCAATGCAATCTCATCGGCGAAGCGCAGATTAGTAAGGTACTCTCCATTAACTCTTATGCCTAACTGTTCTCATTCTAGGCCTCTGAAAACCTCCTGTAAGCACGCGGTAAATAACGTTGGGAGATTGTATACCCCTGCCTTACGCCCTTCTTGATTGGTATTCTGTTGCTTTCTTTATAAAGCACTATGGTAGCTGTTGATCCCCTGTAGATTTCTTCCAGGATGTTTACATATGCTTCGTCGACGCCCTGATTCCGCACTGTCTGCATGACTGCTGATATTTCTACTTAATAAAACACCTTCTCATAATCTATGAAGGCTATTTATTGTGGTTGGTTATATTCTGAGCATTTCTCTGTTACCTGATTGATAGAATGAATGTGGTTTATTGTTGAGTAGCCTGTTCGAAATCTGGCTTGTTCCTTCGGTCGGTTGAATTCTAATGTTGTAGTAATTCTGTAAATTACCTTTGTATTCTGTATTTACCTTTGTAAATAGCTTGTATACTAAGGAGAGCAAGCTGATCGGTCTGTAATTCTTCAAGTCATTGTCATCTCCTTTCTTATGTATTAGGATGGGGTTAGCATTCTTCCAATATTCTGGTACTCTTCCCGTCAGGAGACACCTTGTAAACAGGGTCGCTAGTTTTTCTTACACAATTTATCCTCCCTCTCTTAGCAGATTTGATGTTGCCTCATCATCACCAGCAGCTTTGCCTCTTTGCATGCTCTCCAAGACTTTTCTGACTTCTTCTATCATTACTTATGGAGTGTCTTCTGGGTTACTTCTAGTTCTTATATTAAGGTTGTGGGGTTGACGGCTACTGTACATATCTTTGTAAAACTCCTCCACTAATTTTACTATGCTATTCATAATGGTAGTTACTTTGCCTTCCTCGTACCTTAGTGCACACATCTGGTTTTTGCCTACCTCAAGTTTTCTCTTCACTGCTTTGGCGCTTCCTTCGTTCTTCAGAGCGTGTTCAATTTTCTCCATGTTATACCTTCTTAGATCGAATACCTTATGCTTATTAATCAACTTCGAAAGCTCTACCAACTCTATTTTGTCTGTTGTACTTGAGACTTTCA